ACAGTGCACAAAAATACAATTACAGCACTCTTTAAAAATTCTAGATGTCACACCATTAGCTTATGTAAACTCCTCCATATCATGTAATTTACTGTTATAATCTGATTATAGTTTTCCCTTAGTTGAGCTGGGATTTAGTCCTTTTGACTAAGCTACTCTTTAAATCTCGTTTATTAATGGAATTCAGTGCAGAATCTTATTCTGCTGTGTTTGCTTAATTGCTCAAAATTGTACTATGGCTATTTTTACCTTCTCTCTGTCTTTGGTTCCATTTTGTATTTCCTTCTCTCTCCACTTTTTGTTTCTTGTTTTTGCTCGGGGGCAGTACGATGGTATCCACACAGCTCCAGTGTTGGGGGTTTAAAATGCACCTTCTCTTGTTTGTGTGAGCGTATATGTGCCCTGCGATGTAATGGCGTCCTGCCCAGGGTGTACCCCAGCCTCGGGCTCTATGCTGCCCCCCATCCCCCCCAACCCCTGACTAGCATACGTGGTTAGAGGATAGATGGGCGTTTTTACTGTTGCTCTCAATCATGCTGTGTCTTCTCTGTGGGAAGCAGTTGTTGTTGTCAGTCTACTAGAGGCAGTTTGAGAGACAAAGAAATAAAGCTGTAAGTACAGAAAGAGACTTCACAGTACTTTTCCTTATTCTGCTAAAAAAGCTGGAATTCAAATTAGAAACGCTGAATTTCCTTTTGGCACCAGAACATCTCACTCAATCTACCACAAGTTATGTAGACTAAAACACACACATAGTGTATTAGCAGCTATAAATATACATCTGTGGTGATCGTATTTTTTTGTGTTATCATATAAGGAAAATGTACGTTTTGAATTACTGTTATTTTTGTCTCTGAGGAACGTGTAGGTGTTTGTATTTATGGTTAGTTTGTGCCGTCCTTCAAAAGGCTGATTGGCTGATGTTAAATTCCTTGCTGTGCCTTTAAATAGCACATAGTCTGTGAGTAAAGAGGTTGCTGACATATGCTTCAACAGGAATGTCCAACTAGGCAAAACATGATTGCAGCATAAACAAACAATCAAGCATTGATGTTCATTTACAGTACTCTGTAAGGGTACTAATTTAGTCAATGAATTAAGTAAGCGGAGGGTGACTTTTATCAAACACATAGAATGGCCGGGGTGCCCCTGAGGAGAGGTTTGGGAACTGAAGCGGTGTTCATCTAGCCATCCAACTAGATATCAATAACTTTTTGGAGAACAGAAGAAATTTTCACTAGTTTTTATTGTTTTACTCTTAATTTGAATATGTTCTAATGTTAAAGTGTGTTGTTGTTGTGAGCAAATATACACTTACTACCCAGATAAATAGCTTTAAATTTTTCCTTTGCCTAAGACTTGCTCAGAACTGTAAATGATATGCAAACACATTTCACATATGATGAATATGGTATTAAAAATGTATTATTATTATTATTATCCATCCATCCATCCATTATCATGACCGCTTAATCCCCACTGGGGTTGTGGGGGGGCCTGGAGCCTATCCTGGGAACAACTGGCGCAGGCCGGAACCAACCCTGGGCGGGCACCAACACACCGCAGGGCGCACACACTCACCCAGCCACACGCACACTCACACAACTACAGGGCCAATTCAGACACGCCAATCAGCCTACCCTGCACGCCTTTGGACTGTGGGAGGAAACCGGAGCCCCCGGCGAAAACCCACACGAACATGGGGAGAGCGTGCAAACTCCACACAGGAAGGACCTGGGATCGAACCTAGGAATTATTATTATTATTATTATTATTAATAATAATAATAATAATAATAATATTGATAAAAGTAGTAGTAGTAGTGTAAAGTAGTAGCATAAGTAATAGTAGTAGTAGTAGTAGTAGTAGTAATAATAATACTATAATTATATAATGCTTTTCACAAACCCAAAGACACTTTGAGTAGGTGTGGAAAAGATGGAAAATATAGAGCACAGCTAAGCAGTAATAAGTGCAAGAAAATAAGAAATCTAGAAAAAATGCATGTAAGCTGACAGTAGTAAACAATGCAGTAATAAACAAAGAAATGTATGGAAGCATTACATTACAAATAAGCAGCAGGGCAATGATTGTGAAGAAAATGTTGCGCTTCAGTAGTTTTTTGAAATATGTTCCATTATTCTACACTTGCCATACACAATCAGGAGGCCAAAAGCGCCCCCCCCCCCTCTCAAGGGAGGCGATACCATCTATCCAGCTATTCCCATCTGGACTCATTTTTATTTCCCCTGCTTCATTACTCAGAAACAGTCAATGTATTCTCCCCATAACCCTTGTCCCCCACCTACCCCCCTTATCTTCTCCCCAGTGTCAGAGAACAATTACTGTCCCCTGGCGTGCTGTCACACTCGAACAGCACAACAATTAGGTGGAGGGCCAGTCCTATTATTTGGTGATGATGGGTGTATTTTGATCATATTATTGCAAACGAATCCATAAAGAACTGTCGTACTCAAATGTCGACGGTGTTTCTGGAATAAACTGAGAGAGGATTCTGGAATTGATTGTGAAAATGTGAGGTAGGTCATGCAGTATTTGGCAGGTCGTTTGGAAGCTGTAACAGAGGCGTTATTTTTTTACTTGATATCTATTAATCAGCTTTAGCATCACATTTTTTTCCCTTTTTTGTCAGTTAACCTTTCAATGAACAATAATATATTTATCTAGATACGTGAATGTTTTTGTCCTTATTGTATTTATTCAAGATGTGTCTCTGTTGTCCCTTCTGTAATTGAAAGGATATATTTGATCTCTGAGATGGCCAGTTCCCAGTGGAGTCTGGTGATTGGGTGTGCTGGGAAATGAAGCTGTCTTATTTTAAGCTGAGGCAATTACTCATTTTTAGTACAGACCTCCCATGGCAATAGACCCATTACATGCTCATAAACTAAAGGGCTTAGCTATTTAGAGCATCAATGAATATTTTCAACCTTATTCCATTAGATTAGTTTTGACTTTAAATAGATTCCCAAATAGTCCTTCAAAGTGTCAGGATTGGGTCTGTTACCAGGTGTTGCCAGTGAAACTCTTGCAGTGGTCTTACGGCCAGTGTTGTGCTGTCATATTCTTGCATGACCACAAATGAAGATATGATGAAATCTTGCGGAGAAATGCTTTGGGTTCCTGGTTCACTGGGTAGCATTGCTGCCTTACACATCTGGGGCAGGGGGGTGGAATCTTGCCCCTGCTGTTTGCAGTGCTCCACCAGTTTTGCACATGTTTCATTTTTTTCCTGTAGTCTGTTGAAATTCAGCTGTGCAGTGCATGTTTGACTGGGATGCACTCCAGGCCCCCCATGACCCTTTACTGATGGGGGTGCGAGGGTGGATAAAATATCTTGGCCCTCTCTCTGATTTACTGATAAAACAATAACAGATTATCCCAAAATATACTGAAATATCTGAGTCGAGAAAAATACTTTTATGTATTATCTTTGGTTTGGTTTTCTGCTTGTAGACATCTACTATGCAACCAGCCTGGGTTGGGGTCATTCACCCATACAGGCTGTCTCTGTAAGGGTCCAACGGCATGCGGTGTTTTGAATTTGCGTCCAAATTTTTTTTTCCACAATTACTGTTGATGTTACTGGGTCACAGTACAGGTGTGTAAGAAGACCAGTGTTCCTAGATCTACAGTATGGGAAATGAATCAAAATATTCTCCTAAAGAAAGACTGAAAGATTTTTATATCAAAATGGCATGCATAACTCATGTAAATGTTGATATGCGCTGTCTTGTTTATCTGCCACTGCTCTTGTGTTGTATTTGCTTGCTAATCTCATATCATTATTATCCACAGTGCGATATGTTTAGGGACTGTTCCTGTCTTTACCTCCTACCCGTCCGGTGTAAAAGTCATAATAAACAAGCTGATCACAGAATAATAAACACAGAATAAAACAAACTATATGAGTTTGGTAAAATAAGAAATAAACAGCAAAATACAGCGGGAAGCAGAGGTGGAAGCAAAGAAACAGACAGAGTCGTAGAGGGTTTGGGGGCTTCAGGTTTAAACAAAGTCCATCTTCGGTGATAAGAGAGAAACAAAGGGTCTTCCACAGAAATGTGAGATCTCAGAACCATTAGTGGGATTGTTCTTAGGCAGAGTGTCCATGACGATCATAATTTCCCAGAAAGATAAAAGCAAGTCCGTAAAGGCTGTATAACATTACAATTTGAATGGTGAATGATGAGTACTTTACGAAAGGGATACCAGATGACTGTGTGACATGAAAGAAAGAATGAGCATTTACATCATTTTTTTGCCCTCTGCATTTGATGAAATGCAACAATAATCTATTGCTCTCAGTCTCTGGTATAAAAAATGTCATTCTCCTTTTACTTAGAAAAGATGAGGGTTGGCTAGTGGCTCAGAAAATATTTCACTGGTTGAATCTTATGGACTGGAAGCGTAGCATCAGTATGCATGCTAATTTGTTGCGTGTTTCTCCCACTGCAGCACAGGTGCACTCATTTATGTGTGTATGTGTGTCTTCTTGACTTGTTTGAATACAATCTTGCAAATCAAGCCATAGGTATAACTATACAGATTCATTTGAAATTTGTTTCACTGTTTAATTACATTTCTTGATGATCTTCACATTATTTCTGACAGCATGTGTTTCTGTTAGAGAGGCACATTCTACAGCTTATTCCCTTCAGATCTCAGGCCTTTGGAACTGAGGATGAGAAGCCATCTATTGTTTATTCCCTCTTGTTAACAATATTACAGCCATGCTTTCACTGCAGAAGTGTGGGCAAACAGCTCTAGGCGGCATTTGCAATTAAAGCATTAGCAAAGCAAGCATGTATAATAGGCAGGCAAACATATTAAGTGCATTAATAGTCGTCTTTTTGTACCTTAAGGTAACAAAAGGTATGCTAGCATAGCTTTCTGGGCTTTTCTTTATGTGTTGAAGTTGGAATACTCTAAATCTCTTACTTAGCTGTTTGACACTCCCTCCTCTCACACCCCTGCAGGACAGTGACATCCAGAAAAAAATCGACTATGAGATCCGGATGCGTGATGGGGCATGCAAGCTGCTGGCGGCCTGCTCCCAGAGGGACCAGGCGCTGGAGGCCTCCAAGAGTCTGCTGACCTGCAACGCCCGCATTATGGCCTACATGTCGGAGCTGCAGCGCATGAAGGAGGCGCAGGTCCTGCAGAGGGCAGTGCGCAGGTCAGCGGCCTGGGGGTGGGGGGGCACAGGCGGCGATGGCTTTATGGAACTTTGAAGTTTGTATGGGATCGTCCTGGCAGACAGGTGGACAGCAGAATGGGAAGGGGAGGGGGATTCATATTCTTTATATACATAGAGAAATAAGGATATTCAGTTGAACTTTTCTGCTTGTTGGTTTAGGTCATCAGATGGGGGCCCTAGACTTCCTTGCAAGGGAAAAGTGGCTATCTCAGGTACGTGATACCTCCTCAAAGTCTTAATATTATTGCCTTGTTTTATGATTTATTCTGCGTCCTGCATATTATAGCACGTACTGATCACGCACATTTTGGAATTTGATTGCCAAAGAGCATTTCCATTCACGTACCGTCTACAGTCCGCTACCCCTGCAGTGAAGATGTATTGCCTTCCATCACGACTGAGTGCCTGGCCTTTGAATCACTAATGAGGCCGAGATGTACACGCTGCTGGACTCTGCGAGATCCTTTTAAACGCTCATTGTCGTAGCTGTCATTTTCTCATTATAGACCGTGTCCATGGTGACCCGCAGCCCTGGGAGCTGTGCAGTCGCTCATCTGTTTTTAGCCACAGACAGTGTCTGTCATGCAGATGAAGGGGCGTGAAGGGCGGTTTTGTGTTGGGGGAGGAGATTAATATCCCTCCTGGAAGACGCCCCTGGGGGAGGATCCTGGTGGTTGAGAGGTTATTACTGAGTCCTTATTGAACAGTAACATGGTATGTTATAGCCTCTCACTAGCCCTCCTCCCTCAAGAAAAAGGTTTTGTCTGCATGGTCACAGCTGGAGGAGCATGGATAAATCAGGGTGCTTACAGGCAATTATGCTGTGGACTTAAGTGACATATATTAGTTAAGTAAAATTATGTAGTCATATTTACATGGTTTCATTTTCGAAAAGTGTAAAGGTGTGTGTTTGTGTGTTATCACGTTGTATTACAAAACACAATACTAGCAACTAACAACTATCCAAACATCTCAAGCTTGGAGTTTCAAAGGGTCCTGAACAGGGGATGGAATCAGTAGCACATGCATGCTGACCGGCAATAGCTGTGGTGCTCGTGTCGATTTATACTTCATCAGCATAATTATCATCTGACCCCATCTGGATTCACTCTGGATTTGTTGTTTTTAAATTGCAGATCTGCGGATCCCACTCATGTGGAAAGACACTGAATACTTCAAAAACAAAGGAGGTGAGCTGGGAGTCAGACTATTCTGTCTGCAGAAAGACGACCAGGGATGTATCAGCAATGGTAGCATATCACAACGATGGGAGTGTGAATCTACTACAGCTGACCTCTTCAATTCCCCTAATGTGTCCACTGCTCCCATAAATCCCATGAAATACTACAGACTGCTTATTGATAATGTATAATTTATGAGATGGTGAGTGCTTTTCTAGTTCAAGTGTACTGAAGCAGACAAATGGATTGTCTGGCCTAGATGCATTGGAAGTACTGAATGATTTTACTTCGATTTTTTTGTGGTCAGCAATATAAGGGTCTATAAGGGTTGTGTATTGAAGTAGAAGCTCAAAAGATACCAGCATGCTCATTCACTTATAAACAGAGAAGCAGCACATCTTCATGGCTGACCTGATACAAACATTCACCAAGCATGAAAGAAAAACATCACTTGGGGTCTGAAAGTTCTTTGAGGGGAAGAACAATACAGTCATACTTCGCATGACGATGTTTCGGCCAGTGATGGACCGCATATACAACAGTGGTCCCTTAAGATTGTACTGTAATGGAGCTGAAAAATTCCTATTGCCTAGCAACATCATA